CCATTAAGATTCATTGTGGCTTTAATTAAATAACAATTTAATTCAATAATTTCTTATGTTTTAACTAACTAAGTTTTAATACGGATTTAATAGAATCACAATTTAATTGAATGACTTTTTATGTTTGAACTAATTTTAAGCAGGTTTGCACAAATAAAAGTAAGACAATCATTCATTTGATCATAGCTGTAATTCAGGTGAACCATTGGCTCAATGGTTCACAATATAATGGCTTTTTCTCTGTGTAGTGGTACAATTTTATTAAAATATAATTTAAATTTGTGGATAAATTATAATAAAAATCCTACTATAAACATCAAGTACTCTCGTCTATAAAATTGCTCTCTTATATTGTATTTTTGCACTCTACAAGTAGTAAATCACCATCGGTTGGTGTAAAAATAAAGGAACTGATTCGAAAGTATAAAGGAAACTTGGTTTAAACCATCTTCCTTGAAAAGAAAGATAAACAGTGAAACTTTTAAGCCTTTGATAAAACTCCTCGCAGCAGCTGACTACACAAAGTGGCATAAACATTTTAAAGAACTGTTACACACTTAACAAAGTGGACAAAGGAGATTTAAACGAGATCTGCAAGTTTTTACAATTTTAATAGACACGATCTGATGTAATTTTACAAGGTGACCATTGCTATTATCTTTTTTATTAAAGCTACAAAGTCGCTTAAATTTTCAAATTGGTGAATTTTTTTTATTAAAATCGGTTTTTGAAATATTTACAAAAATAACATTTTTTAATGGGACATTCTACATATATATGTTTACATATTTTGATCTGCAAGTTTTTACAATTTTAATAGACACGATCTGATGTAATTTTACAAGGTGACCATTGCTATTATTTTTATTATTAAAGCTACAAAGTAGCTTAAATTTTTAAATTGGTGAATTTTTTTATTAAAATCGGTTTTTGAAATATTTACAAAAATAACATTTTTTAATAGGACTTCTGTATATGTTTACATATTTTGATAGACAATTCAATTTGGAACAAAAAATTATAGAAATATTAAAGAATTGATAACAAATCTTTTAAGCAATGTTTTAGGATTCCAAACGCAAACCCAATAACAAAAAATAGGCTGTTTTTTGATGGATGCGCATTTGTAAAATTTTAACGAAAAAAATTAATTACTCGAAAACTATAAGTATAGGACATTTAATAGTTATTTTACTCAGGGATTTATGTAGAATTTAAAAATGTAAAAATATATGGGATGTTTAATTTGAAATAACAAAGTTTCATTTCAGGGTAGATACATGTACACTGAAAAAAATACTAGGGTTAATAATTAATAAATATTTATTTGAGACGTTTATTTATAATAAATACAGCAAATTTGCTGTAAATCAATTTTATTTACTAACAATATATTCTGAAATTTAATTTATTTTTTATAAAAAAATTATTTATTATTAATATACTAAATTTGTGTCAAATAAAATCGTTTATTAATTTATTGTAAATATACGTTATATTCGTATTTAGTTCACAGTTTATTAATAATAAATATTGTTTATTAATAGTTGCCAAATTTTCATTTCTTAAATAATGATTATTATAAATGTCACATTTTCTAACTATTAAATCATATTGTTTGTAAGAAATATGATATATTAATAATTAACAAATGGAATATCGTAACGCGTCGTTTTATCTCGGAATATTCACTTCACTTTAAAATGTCAGGTAGTGGGTGGTTTACATCTTTGCTGATAAAGGTGGTGGTGGTTTGTGCTCTGTTTGTGCTTTTGCATCATTTTTCATATAATAGGAAAATTTGTATTGCGTATAAACTGTTGCAGTGATTGTGTAAGTACATAATAATATTTTTCTATGGTGTTGAATGCTAACAAAACAAAAATAGGTCCTTAAACATGGATGCTGACATGGACATAATAGATCTGGCTAATACTTATAAAGGTAAGTTTATGAATTATTAAAAAAAATAATAAATAATGCCTTGTTATTTCGTATTGGCTGAATATTGTGGCAGTTTGTTTCAAGATTTTTCCAGGTGTTGACTATCCCATGGGATGCATTAATAATAAATAAAGTATATTTACTATAAATTCACTTGTTAATTAGTAATCAGATGACTTCAGGTTATATTTATTATTAACAAATTTAGATAATGGAGTAGATTCTTTTAAAGTATTATCTGCTATAGCAGATATCGCCTGTGACGATGCTATGAATATAGTTTTAGGTTATATTATTATTATACTATATCTTTATTTGTTTAAGTTTATTTATGTTTTTTAAATAATAGGTCTATGAGTATAATTTAAAAGTTTTAAAATATTGGTTTTTATAAAAATATATAAATAAAAAAATCATCTTAAAAAAGTATTTTATTTTAAAAATCACCCAAACTGAAGCACATTTTATATCGACATATCGTCGTCAACCTCACAAAGTGATTTATAATTTTATGGATTTTTTATAATTTTACTGGAGAAGATTTTTGCAATATTCAGGTTAACAAATTTTATGATTAATAGTAAATAATTAAGACAGAACTGTATTTTTATTTGTATATATTTACAATAAAATTAGTATACCTATAGTAATCAATCTCACAATCCCATTTTTATAATTTTACAGAAGAGCATTTAAAAAATTACTGCAATATTCGGATTAACAATATACTTCGATTAAAGTTTATTTTATACCATAGTATATTTTTAAAGAAAATACGCCCCTTTGTGAGATTGACAAGAATAATAATACAGTTATATGCTAATTATTAATTATTAATAATAAAATTTGATAATTATAAATTAACTAATTTATAAAAAATATCTCAAAATTAAAATTAAATATATTAATGTTAATAATTACTTCCCGGGTTATTTATAATCAATTTAGTTTATTTATAATAAATAAGATGTTTGTCACTTTAAATAACAATTTGTTTTTTAAAAATTTCTGTTTGTTAATTTTTAATAAATTATTAACTACTTATTAAAATGGCATATTTATAATAATTAAGGGTTTGGTTGTTTTTAATGCAATTTTATTTCTCACAGATAAAGTATTTGTTTATAATAAATAAATATTTATTTACTACAGAAAAGGATATTAAAGTAATACTATAAATTTTTTTATTTATTGTTAAACAACATCATTAATTGTAAATAAACTGTTCTTTCAGTGTTTTCAATATTAAAAGACAAGACAAGAAAAAACATAATTTCGATAATTTAATATCATATATCTTTTTCTACATAAAAGGGCTTCAGTTATTATATCAATACGGATTTGGATAAGGAAAATAAGTTAGTTGTAAGAATCCGTGATAAAACTTTCCGGGTATAAGAAAGATTGATAGGAAAATAAAATGACCATCGAAAATCTTGAATCCAGATATCGGCAACCTTTTTTGTTTTATGTTTACAAACCAAGCACAACTTTAATAATTTTATTTATAAATGCTGTCAAGACTCATATATATATATTTATGGATTAATTAAAATAATTATATCCCCACACCTGCTGTACCTAACCCATTAAAAAAAAAAAAAACTAAATAAATGTAATTAAAACTTTTTAATTGTGTGCTTTGAACATTTATAAAGGATTAAAAAGCGACAACACGTACTTTTTTAACTTAATTTTAAACTAACATTTTACGTCTTTTAAAATGGGTCGGATGTATGTAGTTAAATAATTTCTGAATAAGTAGTTAAAACTTGTTTACCTATAAAGTCCTATAAAAATTTCGTAATACTGATGGGGTAGCAAAAATTACTAAAATTTGGAATGTATTTTTGTCATTATAAAAAACAATATTTTTTTTTAAGTTATAAGAAAATATAAAGACTACAAACCTTTTAGCATAATATCCTTTACTGTTTTTTATGAAGGAAATGGGTATTAAGGTTTAAAATAAAAAATAAATAAAAGGAAATTAAATATTTAATTAAAATTAAATATATAATTATTGAAATACAGGTTTTCCTTGTATATGCCATTCATTATTATAAAAACGTCAATTTATTAACCATTACTTTAAATTTTTTCTTTCTAATACATCTGGTATCGTTACTAAAAATGAGAATTTTTTTTCATTAAAAAATTAAATACATTTTAAAATACCTTACCTTACCTTTATTTCCTTGATTGGATTTTAACTTGACTTTTTGTAAACTTATAAAAGGTGATTCAAAAAGTAATGTAAAAATTATACCAAAAATAATCATTAAAACCATATTAGACAATATTTCCTGGATCTAATAAAAAAATTAAAATTTGATTAAAAGAATACCAATAGAAGGATACTTGGTGTAATAATACAGTATTTACCACATTCCAATCAGTAAAATAAAACGGATGTCTAGCTGCTCCACACTGCAACATTTGTATTGTGTAATGGAACAAAAATATACCATACGTAATTCTTCCCAGCATTTTAAAGCCATCCCAAGATAAAATTGAGTTAACTATACCTTAAATAAAACAAAAATAAGCCACACATCTTTATTGTTGCACTAGCGGAACAACATTTTCATTATTTAGTATTAGCAATTCACACGGATAAAATAAAAAAGTTACCTAATGAAGTCAATTTACTATTCAAGATAATATAATTTATAATTAAACCTCAAAGATTACTATAACAATATCAATAGTTACTTTTGTTACATTAATGAGAATTTTCAGGAACTATAGTAAGCAATATTCTGCACATTACCGTAAATCATTAATAGTTACTCTATGAACATCAACCGCTAAAAATAACCATTACTCAAAACATTCGTTTCATTATACTGCTGCAGAATCATGAGTAAAGTGTAAATAAGTTTTTTGCTGTTATAAATTATGAAATTAAATTTAATAGTCACTTACATCTTAGATTATAAGGTTATGATATATTAAAATTATATTGTTATACTAAATAATGAAAATGTTAAGGTTATGATATATTAAAATTATAGAATTCGTGAAGGTGAAACAAAATGTTTTAATAGTTATCTCTAGAACAAAATTAAAGAAATAAAATTACCTCCATAACCGTAAACACAGCTAAAAATAATCCAGGCAACTCCTAAAGCCCAACCGGATCTGGAACAACTTAAAAAAAGCGAAGATTCCAACCTGTTGTATGGATGTGTTTCGTCGTTGAAAACATGCGTACCAAATACAGGAAGTAGCAAGAAAAGTGAACCAATCAACCAGCCCATGAATACTGTGTACTCATTAAGCTTTATTTGTTTATCTCTCATTCTAAACAAAACGTATCCTAAACCTAGTCCCATTATGTAGGTTGAACTTCTGGTATGTGGAACTAGGTAATGTTTCCTGATAACTTGGCTTTCCAAAATTCTTATCCTGAAGCACGCAAATGTAAAAAGCATTTTTCTTTTCAGATAATATACATATGTATTGGGGTGGTCCAAAAAATAATATGAACATTTTTTTCATTATCTTTTTTACTCTCACCTCCATTAAATGTTGGACCACCCAGTATAAGTATTTATTTATTTTTTTTTATTATTTTTTATAAATCGATGTAAGCTTACGTTAAAGGCATGCCCGCCTCGAATTTATTTATCCAAGCCACATAAAAACTGGATACAATGGATAGTATGTAAAACATGACGTAATTTAAATATCCGAAACTGGGAAATCTCCATAAAGGGTACATTATGAGGGGGGATATAAAAAATAAGATCCAGTCCACGCTTAAGTACCATGTTGGAACTATGCACTAAAAAATATGTAAAATTGTATGAATATATTTATAAAACTTAAGCGAATTTTTTGTAAGTAACAAATTACATAGCGTAATAAACAATTCATAAATTTCACGTTATCAAGCAAAAATCAATGGAGTAAACCCGATAAGAGCACTGAACGGTTATTTAAGAGCCAACTAAATTCCTCTTTTCCGATAATTTATTTCTAACAAGCATTGTTAAATTCTGATACTGTAACCGGTATTCTTCAGAAGTTATATGAAAAGAAACGGGTGCAAGCTGGCGAATAAATCAGGATAATGCTGTATAAATTGGGGCCATATCCTGTGGGAACCTCTGACCTGAACAATCAAACAATCGATTATATCTTTTCTTATCAAATAAGATTTATTACTAATAATCCACATATTGCGCTCACACCGCAGTGCACTTTGGTTTATCGGCGGAAAAAATACATTTTTAGAAACTTTTTAATAAAAACCTAAAATTTTCAATACAGTTAATTATACGTTAGGGTGGAGCGAAAAACGATTTTTTTTTCCTTAGCCTGGGGGTGGAATTTGTAGCCTATAAAAAAAGAAAATTTTTGAAAAAAAAAATTTTACTCTTGAAACGTTAAATTAAATTTAAGTTCTAAACGAGTGGTCGTAAAATTTTTTTCAAAAGTGTTCCGGAAACTGCGGAGTGTCCTCTTTCTTGCTAATTAACAGTTATGAACTTAAAAAAAAATTTGTGGTCATTATTGTTGTTTTTAAAAAAATTCCAAAATAGTAACATGCTTTTCTGAGGCAATAGAGCGAATTTCGAGTTGAATACGTTCATATTTGTTTATTTTTAAATAAATTTAAAGATTACAAGCCAAAAAATTTTTTTTTTTATTCAAAAGAATTTTAACTTAAATTTAATTTAAAAAATCAGTGGGCCACCTCAAGACTTTGAGTAAAATTTTTTTTTTTTTAAATTTTCTTTTCTTATAGGCTACAAATTCCACCCCCAGGCTAAGGAAAAAAAATTTTCTCGCTCCACCCTATTATACGTACTCTAAAAATGATTTAGTCAAAAATGACTAATTTAATAGTTATTAGTGACTGCCTTTTCACCTGTACCATGGTTAACCATGGAATACCATGGTATCCCAAAATTTAACAGCCAATTCTTATGTAAAATTATAAAAGTGGAGCAGTTATTGAGATATAGTCAATTCCATAATAAATGGAAAATTTACTATATCTCAAAAACTGTTCTACTTTTTTAACTTTTGACGACATTTTCGGATTCAGGGGACAATTTTACATAAGAATTGGCTGTTAAATTTTGTAATACCATAAAATTCCATGGTTAATCATGGTACAAGTGAAAAAGCAGCTACTAATAAGTATTAAATAAGTCATTTTTGACTAATTCATTTTTAGAGAGTAATAACTCCTATTTAACACATTAAAAAAAAATTAATATTTATTTGTAATAAAAAAGTTTTTTCCCCAAAACCATAGTGACAAATCTTTCTAATAAAAAAATTTTATCTAATGGTTTCAATCTTTGTTATTCTTCTGGCAAACAAATATTATAAATATTCCCACACAAGAACAAAACACAATGTGCTTAAAGTACTTTTCGCCAACAATTGGCATCTTCAGAAGCAAAGTGTAACTGAGTTATATTATTATTATTATTATTAGAGATGGGAATCGGAAAGTTTCCATTTTAAGGAAACTTTCCGTTTTGGAAAGTTTCCAATTGGGAATTTATTTTCATTTTGAAAGTTTCTTTTAAGCTACCGGAAACATTCCTTGGAAACTTTCCTTGTTTTTTTATTTAAATGTCAATTGTTTAACCACTGATTTTCGTTAAGGCCATGATACACGGCCAAGAAACTTTGAATAAGAATTTAATGTGTGTTAATTTAAGGCAGAAGAAGAAGTTTAACCCTAGATCACTCGCGTCCTGGTCTTTTTGACCGACCTCTTGGATTTTTCTACATAGTATTCGAAACGCGCATGTCTGGATTTTATGGCTCCGTGACAATTCCTAATAACCTTCAATACGTCGCACCCCGTTTCAAACTTTTAAAGAATATTTTAATTTTAAATAATAAACTTTTTTCTTTTTCTTTTTGTTTTATTAAAAAATAATATTTTTTCACGCTTTAAAAGTTTTGTATTATTATTATATTATTATAATGAACAATAAAAAAATATCATAACTCTTTATATTTTTTTAAACTGCAAAAATCGTGAATCGGTCGAAAAGACCGGGGCGCGTAAGTTATGTTACATAACCTCAATGAAGCCGAATTATTCAGCATCATCACAAAAAACCCTGGCATAAAAAAAATATTTTCGCAATAAAAAAAATTTTTTTGAAACTTTCGGAAAATTTCAGAAATTTTCGATGGAAAGTTTCCGGGAATTTTCGTCAAATGGGAATTTTCCCATCTCTAATTATTATTATTATATTTATAATATTTGTTTAGCATCACCAAAGTTGTCATTTTTTAAGTATTTTTCATGCAATTAAAGAGGTAAATTTTGCTGTAAAAAACGTATGATATTCTTACCAATTTTTCAGGATTGATATAAGTCTGAATGTTAAGCAAAGTCGACCACCAAAATTCTCGACAATTGTTTGCCTCCATAGCCAGCGCTTGTTGCCAAAGGGGACCAGATCCAAAATGCCTGATAGCAATCGCGTTCCATATTACTGCCACACTTAGAGGTATCGTTATACGGAAATACCTTTGTAAGTAGAAAGCGAACCAGTTGATTTTGCCGTGTTTCGTGACGTAATCGAAGAAGTTGTAGCTTAGGAGTAGGCCACTTACCAATAAAAAGGTATCCACGCAAACCGAGCCTCCTAGGATTATCATGCTGGCGTATTTTGATGACCACTGCAAAATGTTTTTCCCATTATAAGAGGGTTTGACAAATTGCTAAGTATTGTAAAAATTCTTTTAGTTTTTGGAGACCTTCTATATTATTTACACTGTAAATCGACTATTTTTTTTTTGGAAAGTATATCGAAAATATTGTTTGGGGTGACAAAAAAAATTATGGTGAAAGTTTGAGTCCATAATATTAATATATTAATATTATGGATTTAATATATTAATATATTAAGACGTCTATCATCGCAATTTTAGATTGTTTCAGAACTCCCAAATCATTGAGTTTAACAAAATTGACTTAGGAATATTTTTTGAAGAAAATTGAATGCCCTACAAAACAGGTTAAATTGGAATTTCCCGTCAGATGAACCGTTTTCTTACAATCATGCCTTAAAAATTGGTATAGTTTTACAATTTGATCTTTTAACTGGAATTTTGTAATTCAAGTAAAAATCAGTACCCTGAAAAAAAAAACGATAAATATTTTTATGGGAAATCAAATGCTCTACAAAGAAGTCTTTTATCATTTTTGGCTAAATTCACTCCATCAAAAGTTATTCAAGGTTAAATTTGAAGTTAAAACGAAATTTTAACCTTGAATAACTTTTGATTGAGTGAATTTAGCCAAAAGTGTTAAGAGGCTTTTTTTGTAAAGCATTTGATTTCCCATAAGAATATTTATCGGTTTTTTATGGGTACTGATTTTTACTTGAATTACAAAATTCCAATTTAAAAGATCAAAATGTAAAACTATACAAATTTTTAAGGCATGATTTTAAGGAAACGGTTCATCTGACAAAAAATTTCACTTTAACCTTTTTTGTAGAGCATTTAATTTTCTTAAAAATATATTTTTAAGTCAATTTTGTTAAACTCAATGGTTTGGGAGTTCTGAGCCTAAAACTTGCTGAGGAAAAAAATTAAAAATGCGATGATAGACCTCTTAATATTAATATTATGGACTCAAACTTTCACAATAATTTTTTTTTGTCACCCCAAACCATATTTTCGATATACTTTTCAAAAAAAAAATAGTGGATTTTTTTGGCCCAGTCTAAGGGACACACTGTATACTGGTATATTATATTTTGTAAAATAATATATTTCACCTCTTGTGCCATCCTATGTTTTTTATTTCAATAAACATAATATTCTCAATTATACCCAATATAAAAAATTAGCTAAAAATAATTTTGAATTTCCTAAATTATCTATAAAAAACCCCTGTTCCTTTTGATTAATCAACAAATTTTTTTTTAAATGTATACAGGATGTTTAAATTTATACAGGGTGTTTTTAATATCTTTGAATTTTGACCTGATTCAGCTAAACCAAGCACGGATTTGTAATCTACGACCAAAAATTAAGTTTACTTGTCCGAGCGTTTAGCTGTGATATTTTCACCTTCCTACAGTGTTATAAAGGGGCGACAATCAAAATGAAACACACTGTATATATATATATTTAAATACAGATTCTTTATAGTTCCAAATGTTAAAATTGTTGGTTGTATTCAAAGTGAATAAATAAAATCTAAACAAACTGACAAATAAAAGATAAAGCAAAACTCAAATATATTTTAATTAAAATTTAAAAACAATTTAAAAATGTCAAACTTGATATTTATATTAAAACTTTTAAATAAAAAAGGTTTATAAACTTCAAATTTACCTTGGACTTTTATCCAGAATTAATTAATTAGGCCCGAAGGGGTTTAAAAATGACATAAAAAGTTTTTGTTTTTTTTACGCTTTATCCCAAACCAACAATTTTTTCTAAAGAGATATATAAAGGTTTACTTGTAATAAAAAATGTAAATATTTATTTTTAGTCAAGTTACTTAAAAGTTATAAAAGTAGTTATAAAAATAATGAATGGGAAACAACAAATTGGGTGCTATTTACAAAATTTACAAACTGACATAATTGTATACAACAAACCAGCAAGACTTAAAATAATAATATTATATTATATTATCTTTTGTTAGCTTTTGTTGTCAATTTGTCAAAAATATTTTAGTTATAGAAAGAATATTTCTTTTTAAAAGGTTTGATTCATTTGAAAATATTACAATACATATATTTTTTTGTGTCTAAAGGTAAAAAGGTGTGTTCAGAAAATAACGGGAGTTGTTAAATTTCGCGGGTTCGGAGGGTCCGGTTGTCATAAAATTGTCTTTATTATTTTGTCCCCGAAGTATGATACATTGTTTACTTTGTCTGTGGCAGCCGCTAAGGTTAGACGTGTTTTATGAGCTCGGCGATTTTTCGTTCGTTAAAAGAAATGGATAAAAGAATTTGTATCCAATTTTGCTTAAAAAATGAAATAAATTCTGTGAAATGTTAACAAAGGCCTATAGTGAGTCTGCTATAGGTAAAACAAGAGTTTAAAAGTGGTATAAGAGTTTTCAAGATGGCCGTGAAGACGTTGAAGATGACGAACGCCCCGAACCCACAAGCACATTATCAACCGATAAAAACATGGAAAAAGTGGAAGAAATGGTTATAAACCATCAGAGAAGTCGCTGATGATGTTGATATCGATTGGCTCATCCCATGAAATTATTTCGAATGTTTTGGGAATGAAAAGCGTAGCAGCAAAATTTGTTCTAAAATTGTTAAATTTTGAACAAAATTTTTGGCCAAAAACAATACTGTAATGAGGCCCCAGCCTCCATATTCACCAGACATGCCTCTGTCTGACTTTTTCCTATTCCCAAAAATAAAGAGAACCTTAAAGGGCCGTTGTTTTGCAAGAATAGATGACATTAAAAGCGCATCGCTGAAAGAACTAAAGGCTATCCCAAAGATCGAGTTTTAGAAGTGTTTGGAAGTATTGGAAGAAGAGCTGGCACCTGTGCATAATATCCAATGGGGACTATTTGGCGACAAAATTAATGTAGACGAATAAATAAATATTTGTTTCAAAAAACGAAAACACATCTATACCTATAATAGTATAGTATAATAAATATTTTTTTCATGGTGAAATACATTCAGGGTTGCTATTATTTGTACATATTTGTTGTAACAAAATAATATTCTATCAAAGCCATTATATTTAAATTTACCTCGTTCTCCTGTGTAAACCGGTCTCGTTTTTCATACTTAAATGGAATAGACTATAATAGCGTATATTGTAGTACTTGTCAACTCATTAATTAAATTATAATTGAGTAAAATATAATGAGGCGAACGTGTTTGTAAAGTCATTATTTTGATAAAACTGACCCTAATTTATTAATATATTCGTAAAACAGAAAACAATGATTACTAAAGCCGGTATTATTAAATCAAAAACGATTAAGGGATATTAATAGATTAATAAATAATTAACCGTCCTTTAAATTACACGCATATTGGTCCAGAATATCCAAATATACACAGCGAAAATCGATATGTTAGTGGTTTCATGTAATATAATTTATCAGCAATAATCCTGCAGTAAATTATAAATATTTTAACAGTTTTCGAAAAAGTTCTTGCTTAATTGCTTTTAGGATTATTGAAGTTTTAATATTCGGTGTACTGGTAAATATAGTACGCCCTTAACCTAATTGTATATGATCTAGATATAACAATTTTTGTACTGGTAAAAATGCATGATAGACATGGCGTATTGGGTAACGATCTACTACTACCATGGGGATTCTAAATTGACAAAATTAGACACAGTGCAGTGCAATACGAACCTCGAGTAAATAAAAGGAGTTGACGGTAGGATAAATCATTCTGGCCATGTACCGATGGTTGTACACTACGTACGTAATGCTCAGAAATCTGATTCCGTGCAGGCATCCTAACTCGCAAGGCCTACTGTTTTTCTCCACCAGTCTGGCAAAGTTTGCGCAGGCAGAGAACGAATTAACAAACCAATGCTGTCTTTGACCTAAAAAATAAACGTTAGGATTTAGTTTTATTTTTTATTTTAAATTTAAAAATGATGTAACACTAGTATAAAGTGGGATTAACTTATAAATGGCAAATTAATAAAATGTCTTAAAAGTTAAAACAATATTTTTTTGGTGCATATAACAATTTTCACAATTTATATAATAAATAAAGTTAAAACAAAAATAATTTTTTTGAAAATGTTTCCTAATAAAATAATAAAATACTATTTTAATAAAATTATACTGCAACAAAAATTCATTTTTAAGGCCATTGGTTCGTTTTATTATAACGTTTAATAATCCTGGCGCAATAAGTATTATTGAAAAATACTATTTGAAAAATGGCGGAGGTGCCGGGATCAATAATTGTTAAACCCTGCGCCTTCACCATTTTGTATAAAAATTCTTATCCAATAAAATACTATTTTTATAATAGTATATTATGTATCAAGTTTGATAAACGCCATTTTATACACGATTTAATTTAGGCACGAGCGAGCTTGCGAGCGAGTGCTTAAATTAATGAGTGTATAGAAAAGTTTATAAACGGGGTGCATACTATACTTTTTCTACGACAAATACTTATTATTATCTTAAAATGATTTAAATCAAAAATTTGTATAGAGCGCCATCTATGAAACGATATGGGAATCTGTGTTTCACCGTCAAATGTCACATTTTTATATTTTATAAACACAGATTATAAAGGTTATAAATCGAAATGTATTGCTTGAAAATTGACAGTTTTTCACAGTGAAAGTAAAGAAAATGTTTTATGAGCACTTTACAGTGGAGTCCGTGCCCGAATTTAAGTTATAGTTAACTGCCGGCAAAATTAAAAGATCAGTACAATGTTCATATAAACTTTTCAAATATTGACGTTGAGAAACTATTTAACACTTTTGTATTTTTGTATTGATAGTAAAATAATTTTCACATTTAGTATTATTTAACAAAAAAGGCATTTTATTTTAACGATTGTATGACATTTCACAACTGTCAACTAACTTAAAACTAACTTCAGCCTGTGACTTAAATCCTGTTGCTAACTTCAGCCCGTGACTAAAGCGCCATAAAGCCACAACTTGTCAATGTGTATTTAAAAGGTCACTTAGTGTCATGGAAACATGTACAAAAAAGGGCGTTTTAAAATAATAAAATACTATTTTAATAAAATTATACTGCAATGAAAAGTCATTTTTAAGGCCATTGGAACGTTTTATAACGTTTAATAATCCTGGCGCAATAATTATTATTAAAAAATACTATTTAAAAACATGGCGGAGGTTCCGGGGACAACATTCACCATTTTTTAAATTCTTATGTAATAAAATAATAAAATTATACTGCAATGGCATCATAACAAGCATTAAGGAAGGGTAAATTAAAATTTAAATATGTTAGTTATTTTGGAAAATTAAATGACGTAGGCCGTTATTTTTTAATGTTTGAAAAAAAAACAATTATTATATAAAAAAAAAGTGTTTTTTAAAAGCATAAGTAATTTTGACTAAATTATCAAAAAAAAATAAAAAAAAAAATATTTTTAATTAAAAAAAACAAAGCTAAAGACCAAGTTTAAAAAAATCCTAAATATTCAAAGCAACTTACTTATATATAAAGCTTAAAACCTTTTATATTTAAATACGTATACCTTTATCATACAATTTCTTTTTACGTAAGAACATTTATCATATAAAACCATAGTCAACCATATATTTTCTTTATCGAATTGGATTAAAGAGAATTACTAAACAAAGGTATTATCCGTAGCTTAAGAGAGGCTTAGTTCTTTGGAAAATGTCTAGACGCCATGTTAAATGTAGGGAACTTTAAACGCAAATATTGATTTGCAATAAAAAAATAATGTTGCAAGATATTTCTAACAGTAGTGAATAAACTTACGTTTTTTCTTTCCAAAAATGTCCAGTAAAGTTGCTATAATTACTGCAAGTATAATGGAGAAAACATACAATCTGAAAAATTAAAAATTTAAATACTGAAAGATTTTTTTTTAACATAAAGCAAAAATAATAATAATTTTAAATTTTTATAGTTGACAGCATTTTTTGTGTTCAATAATATTAATTTGAATTAATATGTATTTATAATATATTTATAATAATACAAAGTTAAACCTAAAAATCATTAATTTATTGAATTAAAAATATTGACAATGCGTCATCAAATATTTAAACAAAACATATACATACAAAACATATATATAGGTAGATGTGGTAAATTTCCTGTATTGTTCAATAATTTATTGACATAAAACTTTTTAATGTAAAAACATATTTGTTTATTGATTGAATATCCAAATTTATGTGGTTTAAATTTGTATTTACTTATGATCATTAATACATTATGCATTTATTGGTAATATTAAAATTACAGCCAGTAATTTCTAACAAATTTGCGAATTTTATGTTACTTCTAAACTATAGAATTTAGTAGCAAAACAGTACGTTGTTTGTGCTCTAAACGTTTTTTGTTTTTGTTTGAGGACCGTCTACATAAAAAAGACTCTCTTACTTAACTACACATAAAAGTTTTTGCAAAAGCAATTTTCTCCATTACCAAACTTTTTTTGGTTTGATTCTTAATTTTCTGAATACAGACAGACCGTCGTTGCTAAAAAGGGTGTTCGTTACTTACATGAAGTGTATAATAAAATTACATGTAGCTTTTAATAAAACTTAAGTAATGTATGTAATGTAACTATAGAATAAAATAATCTAATCGATGATATTTCATAAAAATCTTTTCTTATCAAATTACAAATTTTATTCCATAAGTGAAAACTACATTTTGTTACAATAAAAGTGCATAATCAGATCTTATTAATTGTGCGTTTTGTGTGTTTTACATTTCATGCTTGCTATTTGCTTTCTAGCCCTTTTACTTTAAATATCGTCAAATATTTCAAACAATTTTAGGCATATTTTAAAAAATTTAAAAAAAATAATATAACAGTTTTGAATTTATTATTTTCTTCAGTGCAGTTTGCCTAACTATTTTAAGTAATAAGTTTAGCACAAAAAATTTAATTGTCGTAATAAATAAGTGAAGTTACATATTTTGAAACTTTTCAAATTAAAGTTTTGTAAGGAGGTTATTTTGGGCAATTAAAATAAAGTTTAATTTAATAATTGCAAAGTTTTTAGTCGTTTGTTCTTGGTTTTTGCATGCAAATAAAGGGAAAGAAGTAAAATGGGGCATTTAAGGTTTCCGTGCTATTTAATCGGTATATTTACGCAAGTCTCTCTGGTCCCAAACGTGTGCTTTCCATAACGTAAAATAAACCAGCATTGACTTAACTTTATTAAACTTTTTTCGCGGTCCCAATTTTTTCGCAAGAAACTAACCACGACTTCGGGTTAATCTTTTAGGGTCCACTAAATTTAATTTTGTTGTTTGGAGGGTTTTTTGTAAACTCTTTATTTGAGAAGGAAGTTTTTTCTTGAAGTTATAAAGCTTTAATTGCAACATTTAGTAGTTTTTTTATTCCCCACTTAAAACCTTGTTCTACACGTTAAACTAGTAAACGGTAGACTAAAGAGAAATAATATCAAGATTAATGTTCTTTCGACATTTTATTGTTAGATTTAAAATTTTTATTTTACAACTTACAATGGTCCATATTCCCAATTCTCCACCATAACTTTTTTCAAAGCTGAGGTGCATTGATAATCATTCAGTGATACTTTGAGATTGATTCCCTCGGTAAGTGCCACTATGGTTTTATTAAAATGTGGAAGGATATCGTCAGCTTGACAAGAGTGGGGTACACAAACAGACCAAGTGAGATGATTTCCTTCCATAACTGTTTTTTTTGCCCTTTCAAATCTCTAAAAATAATGGTTATCAATAAAGTTAAAGGGGATAAAATTTTCTTACAGCGTCGGAAATATTGTTAAAACCAGATATTATTTTTAATAAATTTTCATCTGGTTGTATATGTATTGTACAAAATTTACCATATATTGACCCATTACCATCTTGGTAATGATATATTTTTAAACACTGATCAAAAGCCCCATAATCCATTAAATTTCCATAAAGAATGCCCGCTTGAATTTTAGATGACGAGTCGAACACTAAAAAAATAATAAAATTTTATAAATTCAATACAAAACATTTTTTAACTGTTTAAATTTAATATAAAAGGAATATTGAATTTATTTAAATGTAAAATAAACACGTTTAAATAAAATTAATTTTCTACAATTTATTTCGTTAAAAATCAATTTAATAAACGTATAAATATTTTATTTAAATTTTATGTTTTAAATATTAATTTTATTGTAAATATATGTATTTTTTGATGGTAATACGGACATTAAAACAATGATCATATAAATTTAATTTTAAACTGGGTTTTCGATAAAAGAATTTTTCGAAATATTTTATTTTTTTCCTTTGTTTCATATAAATTTTAAAAATTATTTTCAGGTGATAAAATATTTCAAGGTTTTGTTTTAGGTGTCTAAATTAAATTTAGTGTTGGGTCGTTTTAAAAAACACCCGCCTTCCGCTGTCCGTAAGTTTGAATTCCAATAACTTTGTTAAAAATTATCGGATCTTATTGATTTAAAAACCAAGTGAAAGCCTAACAAGAAAATGTTTGTTTAGTTATTTCAGAATATTTTTTTTTAATTTTGAAACTTGTGAAACACCAATTTTCGCATGTCCCATTAGCGTTTTATAAAACTTACATACATGTTTTTTTTTTAATATTGTATAACCAGAACTTTGTGCTGCTTTATAGCAATCCATAACATCCTTAGTTAATACAGTAAAAAATTTATATGTATATAAAATAATTAATTTTAATATACTTTTTTAAAATTTGACTCATATCCCAGACAATTTTTCCGTTGCGTTACGTCCTTCGCGTTACCGATAGAATATTAAAAAAAACATATAAATGGCATTTTTTTGGCACTCACGTGATCCACAAATGATGTTCGGACGTACACATTACCCAGCTAAATTTATTTATTCAATCAGGAAGAAGATATCGGTTGAAACAGGTGCGGGTAACGCGAATGTAATAATTGTTTGTCCGCTAAGTTACTCAAAAAAATAATAAAGATAAGGTAAGAAAAAATACTATTTTTCATGTTTTTGTTTATTTTAGGGCACTAAAGCTCATTGAGAGTAATTAATGACTGTAATGTTTTATTATTATTTTTTAAATATGGTTTTACAAAACTTTGTCCACTGCGTTACCGAGTCCATTACCTTATGGTAACGCAATGGAATTTAGGGTAACGCAATAAAATTTTTCGACAACATAGTGGATATTTACCGTCGCTTTTATTAAAAGTAGTTTATGATAAACCAATTTAAAAGTATTTGTGAATAACAAGGACCGGATTTTAGGCAAAATGCCTTTTCGTTTCTATTTCAGGTATTTGTTTGGGATAATAATATATATATAATAATAACAAATTAATCCTAAACTTAAAAAAATAAAGCGTTTGACACCCCTTTGTTTTTGCCTAAAAGCCTAAAATGGCGAAATTTTGATTTAGGGTCCTAAAAGGAAATTTTTATGAGCCTCTTTTATTTTTTCAGAAAAAATATATTTTTCAATGCGAAAAATTAAATTATTTTTAATTAGGCCCTGCTTTCTTGCTCTTATTTCGCCTAGACGGCCTTGGCGAGTACGAGGACCACAAATTACAAAACTAGTGAAAATCTAATGAAAAACCTAATTGTGTTTTTGTCATATCTAAATATTTAATATAAATAATTATGGATAATATTAAGTTTGTAAAATAATGGTTAAACATTATTATTTACTTTGTTTTCATAGGTTTTATTGTAATTTCCATATATGTATTACGTTGTGTTAACCTGTTCTGTTTGTTTATTATTGTTTTTGTGTTGCGTTAATTTGTTTTGTTTGTGTTTTAGTTTGTGTCGAGCCATTTGCATTTATTAAAATGCAGTGTGGCATATTTGGATGCAAGAAAAACCCTTTAAATAAAAACACGGGCTGGATGCTCCCGTGGACGAGTTTTGGTTCGTGCCGCGCATGACGTCACTTGATGAGTAGTTGCCGTCCGAATACACGAATAATAGTAATATTATCAATGAAAATAGAGAAATATCTGGACATAGTGCGTTTTTATTAAACTTAATATTAAATAAAGTGTTATAATATGGATAATAGATTCTTTCAGTCCTTGATAACATTTAGGAGTGTAGTTTAAGAGTTGGTGTTTTAAATTAAACTTTTAGTCACTGTCCAGAAAATGTTTAGAGGAAATAGAAGCGGTCTTAACGTTAATATTGTCTATTCTTTTTGTGGCATTTAACCACTGTTTGCAAAAATCAAAGTTTTTCGGGAATCGATGAAATTTGTTTTCATTTAAAGGGTTTTTCTTGGATTGGTTGTCCAAATTGCATACAAATATGCCACACCGCATTTTAATAAATGCAAATGGCACGACACAAACTAAAACACAAACAAAACAAGTTTCAACGCAACACAAAAACTATAATAAACAAACAGAACAGGTTAACACAACGCAATAACAATAATTTGAACACTGAAAAGTAATTCGAACCTCACTAAACGCAAAAACAAGTTAAAAAAAATAGAGCAAGTTAACATCCAACAGCATCGCAAAAACAAGAATATTAGCAGCAGATAATTAAAGATTTAAAAATACTCAACAAGTGACGTATTTAAGACTTAACTTAAGGTGTAGCAATTGTACCTTTTCATAACAACAAACGGTCATCCATTATATTTGGACACGTCCTCAAGATCACATTGTGGTACTTACTTCCTTTCTCACTGAAACTCTTTGTTCAAAAAAATTGTTATTTGTGCCTTTTGGAGACAACATTTGTTTTACTTTTTTAAAGATTCCCCCCCGGGTCAGATGGCTAGTTACGCCAATGTTGAGTCCTATTTTTGGCACTTTGGGCCTAAAACGGCCTAAAATTTAGGTTTTAATTGCCTATTTATGTCCTAATTTCCAATTTTTAATGGCCTAAAATACTATTTTAGGCGGTTGAGGCCTATTTTTGGCACTTTAGGCCTAAAACAGCCTAAAGTGTAGGTTTTTATTGCCTATTTAAGTCTCCTAATTTCCAATTTTTAACGGCATAAAATCCGGTCTTTGGTGATTACAACTCATGATATAGATTACATCCAAGGGAAAATTCCACGCAATATACAAGTACCTACTAAAAGACACCAGCTTATATATATAGTTTCTTAATTACGTTGTCTGATTAAGTCCTTTGTGTACCCCAGTCCGTTGTGATACCAATGTCTATTTCGTTACTTTTTTTAGTTTTTGTTAAAAAAATCCTTAAAATGATTTTACTATCACTTGGTAATACCTGTTTATAAATTAGAGTTTAACTCACTAATACAGTGACTAAAAGAAAATATTGGTATTGTTTTTTTAACAAAGAATCGAAATGGTGTCTTTTAAAAAGTAACTTGAGTAACATAAATATTTAAAAAAGGCATACAATTTTTAATAAAAAATAAAATTGGAGTCAAAAGTTTGTGAACTAAGTACATTTTATTTCAAATTATTTTTATAACAACTTTTTTTATTGAATTAAATTTTGGATTTTAAATTGGTAACACAGTGGAGACATATAAAGCTAGCTAAACACATTTTTCTGAAAAAAACTTAAAAAAAAATAAAAAAGTGCACTCCCTGTCTTAAATGTAAGTAAACAAAACTCTAAACATTTATAAAAATCCAACCAAAAGTCAATTTAAGCAAAAAAAAATTGATCTTTATTTTCCTGAAAGCGGGTGTTTCTTGAAAATGACCCTATTATTTTACTATTTTATATTAGGGCAAGATTGTTTGACAATAATTAAAATGGTGGTAAAAAAAGTTATATATTTCCTCTTACTTTTAAGTGCCCATGGTTCAAAAGCCCTCAATCCAATCTTGTATTCATCCATGTGTTTTTTGCATTTTTTGTTTTTTATACCGGACATGACGTAAGTAGAAAGGACCTGATTCATTAGCAGTCCTTGTTTCATTGTCAACTTAACAGGCTTTCTAGGATTATCCGTATTTTTCTTTCCTTTCGCCGGATTATTCTTGTTTTCTTCCTTATCGACCTTTTCCATCTCAATAACTGGAGGTTCCCCGGTGTTCACATCTAAGAAATTAATTTTGATTTTGGGATAAGAGAAAGTTGGGATTAATCTTTTTTAATTGTTTTTTTATATAGACCTTTTTGTGAAATACAATAACATGCTTTAATTGCATTTTTGTTAGATAAGTGATATATAAACATAATTAAAATTTTTACATAATACCTTTATTGTAAACTTCATTACTTTCCAATTGTTCAACATTTTGCTTGGTAATGCTTAAAACATTGTAAAAGACGAAACAGCTTAGGAACAAAGCAGCCGATTTTCCCATTCTGTAAAATGCACAATGTATAACGTACACTGACATTCAGTACGGTTTTATATCCGTTAAGTTGCTAAACTTTATTATATAGATGTCAAGAAAGTTTCTCATAGGTACTCGTTAAAAGTTTTTAAATTATTACTGAAAATTATAAGTTTAAAATGCTTTTATATCAAAATAATGACATACCTATACAATGTATGTTTTATTATAAAATGATTACAATAAACACAAGAGTATAACTTAATAGTATATTATGCATCAAGTTTGATAAACGCCATTTTATACACGAATTTAATTTAGGCGCGAGCGAGCTTGCGAGCGAGTGCTTAAATTAATGAGGGTATAGAAAAGTTTATAAACGAGGTGCATACTATACTTTTTCTACGACAAATACTTATTTATCTTAAAATTATTTAAATCAAAAATTTGTATAGAGCGCCATATATGAAACAATAGGGGAATCTGTGTGTCACCGTCAAATGTCAATTTTTTTTTTTATAAACACAATTATAAAGGTTATAAATCGAAATATATTTCTTTAAAATTGACAGTTTTTCACAGTGAAAGTAAAGAAAATGTTTATGTGCACTTTACAGTGGAGTCCGTGCCCGAATTTAAGTTATAGTTTACTGCCGGCAAAATTAAAAGGTTACTACAATGTTCATATAAACTTTTCAAATATTGGCGTTGAGAAACTATTAAATACTTTTGTATTTTTTTATTGAGATAATAAAATAATTTTCACATTTAGTATTATTTTACAAGAAAGGCAATTTATTTTAACGATTGTATGATATTTGACAACTGTCAACTAACTTTAAACTAACTTCAGCCCGTGACTAAAAACCTGTTGCTAACTTCAGCCCGTGACTAAAGTGTCATAAAGCAACAATTTGTCAATGTGTATTTAAAAGGTCACTTAGTGTCATGGAAACATGTGAGGAGCTACTTTGCAAAACGCAGTTTTTGTAAAATTTAGAGTTTTCAGTATTAAGTGCATTTAGGTGCTTGTTTCAAACCGTAATTTTTATTGCCAGGTTGTCCGTTTCAAAACGCAGTTTTTCTAGAAATGACTTAGGCTGTCAAAGTTTGACAGTAAGTAAAAACTCTCTTTTTATCCACAAACTAATCTGTGCACGAACTTTTGTGAAAGTTTCATTAATAATTGCATCGAAAATGAATGCAGATGGTGAGCAATCGATTTCGGTAAAACACAACACGACTGGTTCACGAAAGAAAATTAAGAAACCTCAGAGAAGAGCATTGGAAAAGGAATTTAGGTAATTTTTGCAAATTGAACAATGAACATTGTTGAGCAATAATAATAGACACGCTAATCATTTTCCCCATTTGGAGGATATGGATACAAGGCTCTGCAACTATAAAAGAGGTCCTACTGGCAAAGAGGCTAAGATTAACTGCAACGCAATTAGCCGTGGTGCTATTATTGACGCTGAAAGTAATCGTACTATTCAGGACAACAAGATTGCACATTTATTAGTAGGAATAGGTCAGGTTTTAAAAATGTACAAAGTGTTCGTATAAAGTAGATTTTTTATGATTTTAACCAAAAAAGACACCTTGTTTGTAAAAAAAATTTTACTAAGGCACTTAACATCACACAAAGGCGTGTTATAATAATTGCTAAAAAAATGATCGCCGGTAATGGTATAAAGGAACGTAGAGGAGATCGTCGGTCAAAAATGTACGATGAAAGAAGAAAAGCTGTGCGTGATTTTCTTGGAAATTTAAATGCAACTGAATCGCATTATAACAGAGAAAAATCAAAACGAATCTATTTACCGTCGGATTGCTCCATTTTAAAAATATGGAAAATGTACAATTCTGCTGCTGATCTCAATTTAAAAGTGAAAAAAATTTTTTTTATGGGATCTTTGGAAAAGATTTTAACATAGGATTTGGTTCGCCAGCTACCGACGCGTCGCGACGTGTGTAGTTATTGCTATCAGCTTAAAAACCAGCTTAAGATGGCAACGAATCCAGCAAAGAAAATGGAAATCATGACCAAATCAAGACTGCATAAATTATCTGCTAAGCAATACCACCTATTAATGAAAAAGAATGATGAAAATACTTTTACAGTGTGTTTTGACCTTCAGCAAGTACAAGTTCCGATACAAGAGGCTTTCTATGCAACTCAACTTTCTTTGTATAATTTTTGTGTTACTGATAGGCAAACCTCTGATCCTGTGATTTACACCTGGTTGGAGACTCAGGCAAATAGAGGCTCAAACGAGATAGGATCGGCAGTATACAATTTTCTTATGAACTTACCTACCTCAAGATTGTGAAGTTATAAGACTGTTTTGTGATGGGTGTTCTGGACAAAACAAAAATTCGAATGTGGTCAATATTCTGACATACTGGCTTAACAATAAAGCCCCACATAGTATTAAAAAAGTTATCTTGTTTTTCCCAGTAAGGGGTCACTCATTTCTACCTGAGGATCCAGTTTTTGGAAGAATTGAAAAGAAAACGAGGAAAAAAGAAGAAATTTTAAAAAAAGAAGATTATTGGAGCATTTTTTCGGAAATAGGGACAGTAAAAGTTTTGGGAACTGATTGGGATGTTTATGACATAAAACAGCTAAATTCTACTTTCAAAAAACTTGATAATATTCGTGAATCGAAGAGAATTTTAATACAAAAAACCGATTCTGGAAAAGTTACTTTGAAATTCGAGAACTTCTATAAAAACGACCTAAATGAACCAAAACTCTGCCTTAGACCTGGAAAATCACTTTTCAATTTAAAATTAAACTAAGTTAAACTAGGTAGACCCATTAAAGAGAAGAAAAAAAAAGATATTTACAATTTGTTACAAAAATCCTATGGAAGAAACGAAGGTGGCAATAAAGTTAATTGGAGGGAAGTAGGAGATCTAAAATGGTATGCAGATCTAATAGATAACCAAAACAATGTTGCAACCGGGGAAGAAGAAGGGGACGATGAAGAAAACTTAATCTGCGACTGCAACAAGTAGACATTCGCCTGAAAATTTAATACCCTTAATATTTTTTAAGTTATATGTTAGAATTTTCTTTTTAATTAATTAATTTTTTGTTACTGGTTACCTTTTAAATAAAATTAATGTTTATTTTTTGAGCAGGCCGCAATTTATAAGTAAATTCCGTTGCAAACCCCTCAGTATTTTGGGGTGTTCAGTTCAAAATGTAATTTTTATTTTTTTAAAGAGATACAGTAACAGCAAGAAAAAAACAATATTTTGACAACGAACTTGTATGAAATTATCGCATTTTTCTTTAATTTTTACATTTTTTACAAAAACTCAAATTTCTTAATTAAGTATTTAGCAAAGATTTCTCTACCCTGTAAAAATTACTTTTTTCAAAAACTGCGTTTTGCAGAGTAGCTCCTCATGTACGATAAAGGGCGTTTTAAAGGTGGGAGTAGAAAAAGTATTTAATTTAATAATATCACACCAATTGCACAATAAAAACTTAAAAATCAAAGTAACGGCTTAATTAATACTTAAATGCCTTATGGGTAATTCTCATATAACTTGTTTCGATGCTGTATCCACTTATTTTTGTGAAAACTAATTCTCGCTCAAGGTTTTTTTTAGTGTAATGAGCAAGTAGCATTTTAAGGTAATGGGAACTTAAATTATGACAACCCTAATCTATTAATTTTTTCCTAAAATGCAGGCTTTATGTTGCAAATGTCACATAAGTTACCGGTCACCAACTGCAATATCCTAACATTGATGAATATTTTAACAAAATGGCTGTTGAAACAACTAATGTTAGTGCTTGATTAACTCAAAATAGACTTAATTAAGATTGACGAAAAATTCTTTTATCCGAAATCGGCAGTAAAGTAGAACTTTACTGCCGATTTATTTTAATTTACGATTGTTGACTACTTTACTGCCGATTTCGGATAAAATAATTTTTTGTCAATCTTAAGTCTATTTTTAGTTAATCAAGCACTAACATTAGTTGTTTGAACGGTCATTTTGTTGAAATATTCATCGATGTTAGGATATTGCAGTTGGTGACCGGTAACTTATGTGACATTTGCAACATAAAGCCTGCATTTTAGGAAAAAATTAATAGATTAGGGTTGTCATAATTTAAGTTCCCATTACCTTGAAATGCTACATGCTTATTACACTAAAAAAAACCTTGAGCGAGAATTAGTTTTCACAAAAATAAGTGGATACAGCATCGGAACAAGTTATATGAGAATTGACCTTATATTGCCATTAAACTGTAAATTTTCCCAATTTATAACTTTATAACTAACGGTATAATTGTTTATTACCAGAGTAGTTTTGCAAAGTTAATAATAGCAGGTAATAAAGCTGAACAATAAAGGGAAAATATTGTCGGTGCAATATTTTTAGAGTGAGCGTTAAACTAAAATAAAACTTGTTAATGGGTCAGGATGGAAATTTTGTCGCTACAAATTTTTTTATTTGGTGGTAGTTAAAATTTTTAATTAATGAAATTAATGTGTACTTAAATATGCTTTTTCTTTTATTAAAAATCATACAAAGAAAATTTCAGTCCCATTTTATGAATTTACTTACAGATTTTTTTTAACAAATTATTGAAATTAATTTCAATCTTTTTGGATTTAATAATAAAGTGATAATTTGGGTTTTTACTACACCGGCAGTATGAGGAAGAGGTTTAATGTCCCCCTCGTCGGATCAAGCATGCTGTACAGGGTCGGGTCTAGGAAGCCGACACCTCGTACCAAATTAAAAATTGTATAGGTTTTAATTTTTTAAATATCTATTTTAAGTATATTTAATCTGTTTATATTTATATTGAAAGAATCAGTCTTATTTAAAAATACAACCAGCTACTGACCAAGGACGAAGAATAAAGTTATAAAGTTATATATCCAGTATATTCTTCAACGAAAACAGTTTACATCAAAAGCATTCCTGTGTTTTATATTATTAGAAAAAAAGTATTTTTTAGAACCTATATAACAACTAGGGTGGTTCTTATT